GAAGGATCTTGTATTGAAATTTGCATAATTTGATGCCAAGTACTGACAGATTTATAAAAATTTTTAATAAAATTATTTTAAAACTAAGGATGAATTGATAAACTAAAAATAATTTTAAGCCCACTAACATCGGTATGAAACGATTAAGTTCGTGATAAAGTAGATCACGACACGATGAACGTGACATTCTTTCGTGAGGAATCCGTAACATTTTCACATCTTTCGCAATTTCCAGTTTTTAAATTTTATTATTTTTTTTTTCTTAAATATTTTACAGTAAAAAAAGTGTATAATTTAAATAAAATAGGCCTATTTATGAGGAAAACAAATGACTCTTCTGTAGGTTTTTTTATTTTTTGGGAGTATTAAGTCTTATGTAAATATTATTTTGAAATCGAAAAACGTGGAAAATAATCATTCACTGTCATAGACAAGGTCGAATTATGTTTTCTAGATGCAAAAACATGCTTAAAGTTTGACATTAATGGATTAATCTCCTTATAAAAGAAGAAAGAACATGGATATTGTGACGTATTTATTCATTCTCCATCCTTCACGAGGCGTTTAACCATTAAAAAAACAAAAAAAAAAACGTAAAAATTTCTTATTTTTCCAGTAAAATTCGAAAGATTTTGCCACATTTCTAATAAATTTCGGCATCGAAAGGCTACTCTGGGTGGTCCAAAACTCAGTTAACCATCCTATTAATCCTAAATTGCTGCCGAATCGATACTCAAATCACGATGCAACCTTCTAGCAAAATTGCCGTATCGCTGGCTACTAATGTGGTTAACCGAATTTTGGGCCATCCCGTATCAAGCTGGGAGATTAATCTCTTGCAATTATGGTAAAATATTTGAATATTTATCGCTTAATGTGGTTTTTTAGCGTAAAATGGAGAGGATCTTACTTTTTACTTGTTCCTCCTGAAAGGAATCTCGTGAAGGGGATAATGCAATGGTTTCAATTTCACTTTCCGCTTAATGCGTTATATGCGGGACATATTTTAAAGGTAATTGTGACCTGTACGAGATTTTTCTTGTTGTTTTTTTGGGCAAAAATGCTGACATTTTGAACCGAAACACACGTTTTAAGGTGCCCTGAATACGATTTCATTAGTTAGCCAATGGTGTCTTTGTTTGTATACGAGTAATTTAATTTAAAGAAAAAAAAATCAGCAAATATTAGCTTCAAAATATGTAATTTTTACGTTAAAATTATTCCCAATATTTTTCTCTATTTTAAACCGGAAACGGAATCAATTAAAGCCATTTTTGCGCGCGCGCTCAACTGGTTTCACTGACTTGTATAATTTACAAATTGTGCTTATTAAGTCTAATTTGCTTGTTTTAAATTAATTAAATTTATTTTTCACTGTAATTAAACCATTTATATATATATATATAACTCACTCTAAATGTTGTAGCCTATAATAACTTATTAACTTATTAGACTTTCGCGTTGTTTCGCATGGAGATTCGATGCAAAAGTTTTTTTTGTCTTTTTAATTAATTAACAGTTATAAACTAAAAATTCTTAAAAATGGTCCAAATGAGATTAATTTTTTCGTTTTATTTAATTTTTAAGAACATTTTTGCTTGAAACTTTTAAATATAGGAGGAAAATTTTCTCCTGTCGCTTCGCGTCGCTTCTCGTAGCGATACGATGCGGCAAGAGTCGATTATTTTCTTTGTCTTCTTAAGAGTTATAAGCTAAAGCATTTGAAAATAAATCTATTAAGATTATTTTTAAATTTTGTTTTTTCACAAGAACATTTTAACTTGTAACTCTTAAACATAGAAGGAAAATCTTCAAATTATTGTGTCGCAACGCGACGCGAGTCAATTATTTCTGTCTTCTTTTTAAGAGTTAAGCTAAAGCATTCTTGAAAATAAATAAATTAAGATTAACTTTAGAATTTTGTTTTGTTTCCAGGAATATTCTAGCTTAAAACTCTTTTAGAGAGAAAAAAAAATTCTTAAAATTGTCGCGTCGCTTTCTCTGACGATACGACGCGACACAACAATGTGAGGATTTTTTCCTCTCATTAAGAATTTCAAGCTAAATTGTTCTTCAAAATGACTTAAAAGATAATCTTAAGCAATTTATTTTCAAGAACATTTTAGTTCGAAACTCAAAGAGTGTAGGAAAATCTTCAAATTATCTTGTCGCGTCGCTTCTCGTAGAGATACAACGACTCGAGTTAATTACGCGAAAGTAGAGAAACGCGACTCGAGTTAATTACTTTCTTCATCATTTTAAGAGTTATAAGCTAAATAATTCTTGAAAATAAATAGATTAGAATTACCCTATAAATTCCGTTTCGTCTCCAAAACAATTTCAGCTTAAAATTCTTAAAGGGAAGAGGAAAAGCCTTCATATTGTCGCATCGCTTCGCGTCTTATCGTCAATGGGAGCGACGCGACAAAGCGAGATTTTTTTTTCCTCCTGTCTTCAAGAGCCGCAAGGGAAAGTACTTTTTAAAACGAATAATAAATATTTTAAAAAGTAATCTTAATTGCTTCATTTGATGTGGGAACTTAACACGGATGTCACGAATTTTTTGGTTAAAAATGGGGCGTTAACTACATAATATCTGACCCCCTTTCACCCGAAATTATATCTCTTTTGGACAATTTCCTGTTGAAAATATATAAAAATCTATTATTAAAAGAATCTTGTTAACGAGGCGTTAATTTGTATTCAAACTATTAAGGGGCAGGTACTAAAATGTTTTTTATCTTGGGTTAAATCTTGTTACGTTACATCGAGGTAATGTTAAGTAGTAGAAAAGAAGGTGAAGACTTTCACAGATAACCTCAATCGCCGCTTCTTTCGCTTCAGATAAATGCTTCTATCAACCGATGAATGGCTCATTTAAATAAAGAAAATGCAGTCTAACTACGTTTAAATTAGGCTAAAAAGTTCCGAAGTCAAAGACTTCCAACGCGTTATAGCGAGGTTGTGTTAGAGATACATAAAAAGAGTTTTGCATATAAGAATATTTAATAATAAATTAAATTATTTTATGAAAATAAAAGCGCTGTAACAAGTGAAAAGCGCTATAGCGCAGTTACGCGGTTTCCACAAATAAAAGTATTCTTGTATAAACTAAATTGAAAATTTAACGCTACTTACTAAAATACGATAGATTTAAGCACACATAATTCGTTATATCGAGTTTCTACTATAGGGGGAGACATTAAGGTCTAACGGTATTGGTGTACTGTACAGTATATTTAATTAAGAATTCGAAAAGCGCTTTAATCAAATAATATGGAATAAAATTAAAATAAACTCGATTTAACGTATGGAACTCGTTATAACGATGCGCTATAACGAGGGTTTTGTACATAAAATGATTTTCGAGTAAATTTAAAGTATTTTAATAGAACAAAAGTCATTTAACAAGTAGAATTCGTTATAGAGGGGTTGCGATATAACGAGGTTTTCGTATATAAAACGCATTTAGTATATATTTGATTAAAATAAATTGTTAAAACTGACGGCGTAAATTTTATTTTATTTTTAATTGTTGAGGTTGACCGCCGACTTTTAAACGTGAATCGGGGGATTTACCTCTAAAATTTTAAACTTATTTTTAAAGTGTTTCTCTGTGAGTAATGACATTCCGGACAAGATAGAGAATGTTCTGAAGGCCCCGGATGCAAAGATACCCAAAAATTTAGTTACTTAATGGAAAAAAGCATATGATACGGGCCTTTTGATAGTGGGAAAATCTGTTTTTTTTTTTTTTCACAAAAACAGCGGCAGAAGGCTTGGTTAGAGGCAGTTTTAGGCGTAAGTTAAGGCCTCCTTCAGCTTTTATGTCTCAGAAATATATTTATTGATACTCGATATTGATCAGTACCTAATAAGGCCTTAGTAAGGTCCTGTCCCAGTAAATATGAGGCCTTATGGGCCTCAATTTACAGGACCTCAATAACATTTATTATATTAATTTCGTTGCGTTTCTTGTGTATTATTCAAGAGAAGAGTTTTAAATTTTACTGTACTGACGCCTCAAAAAGATCAAGGCCTGACCTCGCTCTACCTCTGAAGAGGCCCTGCTTTTTATCCACCATTAACCTGAATCCTAGACCTTGTACAGTATCAAATACCATGTGATTTGAACTCTAAACAAATGGGTTTCTCAAGTCAAACTCCATGGCATTAAACTATTAATGAGTCCCTACACTTTCGACTGAGTAATAATAATTCCGTAAGCGTGAGGCCTTAAAAGTTCAGCATAATAGTAAATCCGGTCTTGCTAGTTTCTGGCGCAAGTTAAAATCACCAATGCCTAAGGCCCTGTATGACTGATCTAGGCCCTATTTAACTTCTCTTTCTCTCTCAGGCCCCAAAGACATGGATTTGTTTTAATTTTCGCTTCTACGAATTACATACAAATCTTTTGTTACAGATAAAAAGAATTAATAATAACTGATACAGATCAACCTATATTTCACTTGTTGACCTTCAACACTTGACTAAACCACGTGACAGTAGACATTTTAAGTATCTAATACCTCCAGACACACGAACGTACATTTTTATTTCGAATTTCCAATGAGCTGACCATTTTAACGTACGTAAGAACTAAGAAAATAAACCGTTCTACGCGCTTAACGGGCGTTACAACGGGAGATTTACGGGTTCGTGCTAATCTCGTATAAATTTTACGTGTTTAGGGCAAAAATTTACGTAAAATACATGTAAAAATACTCGTAAAAACCCGAAAAAACTCTAAAAGTAATGACAAGTTTTGCCCTTGACAGGTATATTTTCTTGTAATCTGGTCAGTGACTGACTCAATTGTTGAGGGTCACGCGAACAGTAAGGCACAGACACACATCCGCGAACCTTATTGCGAGTTAAGCGGCCATTGTTCGTGTAAAAAAATGAAAAATCAGGTAAAAATTCCCTAATTTTGGGCAAATTTTTAAGCTATTTTTGGACCTACTTTGACAGCTTTTTACTCTATTTTTTTGGTTTTTCAGGAAGTGTTACTACTCTTTAGCGTAATTTTTGCAGCTTTACTCTCCAGTTACTTGTGTTTAGATTATTCAGAAACTCACTACTCGTCCGACGTAAGTTAATTTACAATTAAAACTCTAATTATAATTAAAATATTTATTAATTAAAGCCCGAATTTACTCCGTTTAATAGGCACGAGCCAAGCTTTAGTACGGATTTTAGCATTAACGGGACTTAACTTACGCGAAATTAAAGGCGATTAATTAATTATTCCGTTGATAAATTTAATTATACGCTTATTAATTAAGTTGGCAACTCGATAAATAGTTTAGAATTAATCGAAAACGAATCCCAAAATGGAGAGATCGAAATTCAAAATGGCGCCGAACTGGACGATAAAACGAGTTCTGTGATTATTTCAGCGGGCGTTAAGCAGGAAGAAATGATAAAACATGGCGAAAATAACTGATATTTTGTAGGATATTAACAGTTTATTTATTCTGTTGACGTTTATTCAACAGTAAACAAGACCCAGTAAAGGGGGGAGGGCAAAGATTAATGGCTACCGGATCAGGAAATGGTGTTTAAACATCTTTCTTACACGTTCTATCGCCCATTTATCACTCACGCGACAGAATGATTGATTATTTTACATATATCTAAGCAGAAATCGGCGAAAAATTGATTAATTTCTCTATTTAAATTCATAATTCTCTCTCTCTCTCTCTCTCTCGCGCGCGCGGGGGGTTAAACGTAGTCGTAAACTCGACCACCCCTTGCGAGATTTAATCATAGCTTTATTTTAAATGATGAATATTAAACTAATACGCGCGTGTTTTTTTATTATTCTGACGTCAGAGTTGTTATAATTATATGATGTGGGGGTCCACACGCAAATTACTCTGTGGTATGTCGAGGTGTGAAGTTGAATGGTTAATTTTAATGGTGTGTGTGGTTAGTGTAATTAAGAGTAAGTGGTGATTCATAGGGCCTGGATGAATGAAGAGATTAATTCATTTAATGCAGCTTCTGGGTGTTAACAAGACTCAGAAGTGACCTCCCGTCTTTGAGGGCCCTTCTGCGTCTTGTTAACACCCAAAAACCGTTAAATTAAAGGACGGAAGATCCCAGAAGGGACTGGGACCTATCCAAATAATCCCTCTGTATGGGTCTGCTATTGACAATAAAAATATAAATTAAAAGGCATATTTTTGACTTTTGAAGGGAAGGGGCCCTACATAGTGCCTTACCTCATCTCTCAGCTCTTTAATACTGGTCATTAATACATTTAACACATCTCCCTCATAATTTTGATATCCCTTAGTGTTCGGCCTTCATTTACACATAAACTACAGTTTAGAGCCTCACGTTTTTTTTTTTTTTTTTAATTTATAACTATGAAGGCTTCTTATAGGTTAGGGACACCATAAGGTCCTATTAATGTTATTTATACTATTATTACGAGGCCATATCTATGGTTTTGTAGAGAAAATTCTCCTGTTTGTTAGTAATTAAAGATTTAATAGTGTCATGTACAGTACATGAAATTAGGCATAGATACTGATCTTGAATGTTCTGGTTTTCCTGGTGAAAGGGTTCTTGATATACTCGTGACATTTTCCTCGGGAAATTACTTTAAAACTAAGGAAAGTCTAGCAAATTTAGAACATTTTACACTACATCTCAACACTAGAAAAATCTCGGTCTTTCCTGTAATGTCTACTGAATAATTATAGAGTATTATTATTATATTTTTAGAGAATATTTCTAATTTTCTAGAAAATATGTCTACACAAAGCCTGAGAGATGTGAGAGGTCTTGCAACTCTACGAGGCCTTACTCCTCCCCAAATTCTATAAAAGTAAAGCGGATAAACAGAATTTGCATCGCTTTTTTACACAAAAAACGAAATTTTGGGGCTCGTTTGTGTCTGGGGCTCTACCAAACGGAAGTAATTTGAATACGGGGTTGTATTTTACATGATTTTAAGTAATTTTATTGTCATTATTGTCATCGAGTCTTTGTTTTCATCCATACTAATTGCTATCATCACCTTTAAAGTATTCAGATTGGTTCGGGATATATCAAGCAGAAGGGGCCATATCTCCCGAATTAATGGTTGAATTTTTCTAAAATTTTCCTAATTCCTTAACCTCTGTGGAAAGTTTCGGAAATTTTTGACCAATGACACGGGAGTTATTACGCTTCAAAATGGGCGAAGAATTCGTGCACCCCCATACACATTAGAGGAAAAACCTCCGAATCTTTTGCATTTCTCGACGTTTCGAGGTCTCCGAGTCCAAAAAAACGCCAAATTACGCAATTTTAACCCCTAAAAACTGTAATAATTAAAAAGGAAAGAATTAAAAAACGGGTTTAAGTTCACGAAAATCATTTACAGGATGAAGTTTAGGGCGTCGAAATCGATCCTGTGGAACGGGATAAAGTTTAAACCTCGTAAAACGTGCAGAATTTCGCAATTTCGCATGAAATTTCGGCAGAAAATTCCCCGACGGAACTGCAAACGATATAAATTTTTTTCCAGGGAGTAAAAATACTTAAAATATTTCGCTACTTCCATTCGAATTAACGGGTTTAGAATACAAAAACACGATACAAAGTTAAATTTCGCAATGTTCGTAGGAAATTTCGACGCCCAAAAAAAGGCGTAATGTTAAACAACGCCTTCTCACGATTGACTTTTTAAAGAAAGCGTTTTTTCCTCCCCCCACCGTGTTTTTTTTACTCATGTCTGACGTCACGCGCCCGTCACGTGACCCAAAACGTAGTACGAAATTCGGTACTTCACGAGACACTTCAAGGATCGGATTTTCGCACGTTTTTCGAAAGTTAGAAGGGAAAATATCCCGTGTTTAACGTTCGTTTCACCGCTCTTAACCGGTTCACGTGCGACGTTTTAGGTAACCTCATTAATGTAGGTCGGTGCGGGGCCAAGGATAGAAAAAAAAAACACACAAACACACGAAAATTAATAATAAAATAAAACAATGAACGTTATGGGAATGAAGTAAGGATAATAATCGATCGTCTCGATTATTTTTAACCCATTTTCTTGTCTCCTACGTGTGAACTTCACCCCTAAACAGGCAGCGTGGGAAATTAAGGTGGGGTTTGGGTGAAATTTACAAAGGGGAAATCGTTTGTTGCCGCGTGATTTCGACTTTCTTTTTAACAGCCTTGGCCCGCATCTACATCTGGAAAATTAGGGACTAAAATAACACGGGATTTTTCGTTGCCTCTTCCTATCTTTCCCATTGTATAGACATGTAAATTTAGGCCTATAACTCGAATTACATGTGTCAAAATTAAGGTTTTTTGTTACTGAGAAAACGGTAGCTTCCTCTTTAATGTGAGTGTAATGCGTATGATGAGGTGTGAGTGAATATGCAACCGATTTAACATACATTTTCTATTGTTTTGATGCGTGAGAGCTTCTTTTGTGCATCTGTGATATTTTAATTTATTGTTACGCCCTTTACGCCAGTTTCTATTGTTTATAGAAATTAATAAAAGTTATTTTGTTATGTTTTAGAAGATTTTTCATACGAATAATGAAGAAATTTATGCAAGGTTTTGCTTAAGAAAGAGATATGGTGCTTAAAAAGGGTTGAAATGTTAGTGATTTTTCGCGCAGTTTACTTCGTAAATATCCGCTTTTGAATCTATAAAATCTACAAACTTTCATATTTTTACAGGTTTTATGACACATAAAAATTTACGAAAAGCAATAAATAGGATCAAGTTCTGTAAATACGTATAAAAAAGTATATAGATATTTACTATATAGTTCAAGGTTTCTCAACCAGTAGGTCGCGATCTACAAATTTACAAGCAATTTTTCTGGATAATAACGTGTTCGATTTTTACTTTTCATGTTAAAAAAATCTATAAAAAATATACAATTTGGCCTCTAAAATTAAAGCCTTTGTACAGAATTGTACGCTGATAAAACTACAAATTAAACTTTAGTATAACGTGATAAAATAGTAAAGTCTTCGACGTTACGTAAATGAAATTCTATTGTATAAAACTCGAAAATATCTTCAGAAATGTATTAAATTACGTAAATAATTATTTAGAATTAGGCTATTTTGTATAATTTTAAGTTTACGATCAATTAATTATAATAATGGTAACTTTATATACCAATTAATCTACATGTCAAAAGGGATGATTAATATATGAATTTTCTCTTTACAGCCCTACGGCAACATAAAATACAGTTATACCTTACAAACCGGAAACAGCAAGGTACAATTTCGTCAGGAAGAACCGAATAAACGTCTCCCGCCTATAGCTCCACCGCCCTTGATATACCGTCCAGTCTTCGGTTTTGGTGGTTTTCGACCCTTACAATACAGGCCCATATTTCTGCAGATAATTCAACCGCGAGCTCTGGTACTCGAACCCAGTGCCACAGCAAATGGAGCGGTTACCAAACGTATAACCAGAGCGAAACCTGCGGAAGCGGACAAAGAAAAACTGTCAAGAATCGTAAAAATTGACAAAGGTCACGTCCCGCGATACCCAATTATACACAAGTTAGATCAAAGAACACTTTATTCTCACGGTCACCTTTACTCCGACGACCCCCTGGCCGGATATTACGTCGGATAATTCTTATAATTACAACAGAGCCATGAGTTATAACGAGAACAGACCTTATAAAACGACCAAAAAACAAATTTATCTTCCTATTCAGCTACCATTTTTTTATTATTTTTTTAAAAATAAGTATTTTGAGTAGTTTATAAATATTTTTATGTATAGTTAATTAGTCTTTTACGGGAATAAATTATTGAATTTTTTAAAAAATGTGTCGAAATACTGCTTTAAAACATTCATTTTCAACGTCATTGCTAGCTGTTTAAGTGCGCGTTATACACGGTTAGATCGATTAAACGTGTTAAAATAATTAATTTTCTTTAAGGAACGAATGTATAAATGGATTTTATGTAAGAAAACACTAAAAATATTTCATTTTAAACATTTATAACCTTAATTTTCGAATCTTAAATCAATTTAAGCCTTACTTTTCGACACGTAAAAGCTAGATTTTTGTATCTGTAATTAAATTAAAGCCTTCTTATCAGATTTGAGAATTAAATTTTTATATTATTCAAGATTAATTTAGAAAGAAATATACATATATATATTTATTTTGAATTTTAAAAAACCAGTTTTTGTATTGAAACAGGTCAAAGAATAACCAACGTGACCAGAAAGACGTCCATAGTTAAAAACGTTGGCCACTTCGTGAGAGTTTGTTGTGTTAATTCAATTAGTTAAACCTTTCGGGAGTTTATTTCCGGGGTATTTCTTTTAAATTTTCTTTCCTCTTAACTGCCTTTCTCGTGTAATTCGGATTTTCTGATCCCTTCACCTCTCCATGACACATTTAGCATCTTACCTATTATCCGGATGAATCGAGTGAAGAACTGGATTAAACCGTGAAAAAACACGATTATTTCCATATTCTGTGAATAAATTACTGTGAAAATTTACAGTTTATTGTGTTAAAATTCATGATTTTATTTTCTTGTATAGGAAGGATCCTTACTGATAGGAAGGTGAAGTAAATGACATTGTTATCCTGAACTCATTTAAGTGTGATGCGGAAAATATTGTAAACATGATAACGATTAACATATCCATCAAGTTAAGTGACAGCATTCGTGTATACTCTTAATATCACGCACAAAACTTTACTTAACAAAATATACACTATACTGTCAAGCTTTTATAAGATATATCCATAAATATTTACGGATTTTACGGACATTTTTAAGGTTTATCCATAAATATTTGCGTATTTTATGAACATCTTTAAGATTTATCATCGTTACATCGAAGATAAATAAATTATAACAATATTTAGGGCAGATAAAACACGAGTAAAGGGTTTTAAAAACGTTTTAGCAAACACGAAAATCGTTTTTGAGCGTGACAAACGTATAAATTTTGCACATTTTCTTGTTAGAAAATGGTAAAGTTCGTCCCTATTTTTCTAGTGATATATTTCTTGTAAATGGCCAAATGTAACTAGGACATGGATGATGCAGTGTTTCAGACTTTATACTACGATTGGGCCGCGCCCTTTCGTGAAAGAAAGGAGGTTATGGTAACAAATTGTATGTTTTATCGCTAAAGAATCGTGTTTCGAAGGTGGAGTTTCAGTTTAAACCCTTATAAACATCCCCCCCGACACTGCAGAATGATATAAGAAATCAAGGACGTAATTCCGCTTTGTCATCGGGGGAAGGGAAAGAAGAAATTCTGTGTTGCTTGACACATTCCTTTTATTAGATTTTTGATTAAATTACTGGTTTTTATGTGCGACAATGGATTTTTAATTATACGGGGGATAGGGGAAAAAAGGGGAAAAATTCTTGCAAACGTGGAGGATTTTGTGGTCATTTCCGGTTGAATTTTCTTGTAGGATTAACCGAAAAATGCTGTAGACAGATAAATTAAGCTGTGCGAATTTAACGAATTTAGAATAATAAGGGAGAGATGCCATCTTGGGGTGATATGCCCCATCTTCGATTTAGCTGGGAATTAATATCGACTGTTGGAAACTGTGATATAAAATTGACATTTAACCGCTTTATTTTCATATAAGAACCGATTTATAGCTTGTGGAATGCGGGAAAGTTGCTCCGAGATGATTATTTTTGCTGATCTTAAGGGTATATTTCCTGCACTTTTCTTATTAACAACAGAAGGGAAAGAAGTTAAAAATCACGTCGTTTTAATGATAAATAAGTAATAGTTAATTAATTAATTGAGCTGTACAAATTTGTTGGATTTAGAATGACGAGGGAGAGATGCTCCCTTGGGTGAGGTACCAAATGTTAGCATTAAGTTTAGCATTAAAATAATTGGCACAGCTGGAAACTATAATATAAAATTGGCATTTAAAGGCTTTATTTTCGTACAAGAACGAATTTTTGGCTTGTGAAGTGCGAGAAAGATGCCCTAACAGATCATTTTTGCTAATCTTAGGGGTATCTCTTCTGCACTTTTCTACTAACAACCGAGGTAAAAAGATTAAAAATGGTGTCGTTTTAACGATAAATATTAAAACAAAATAAAAAATATGATTTATTTTGATTTAAAATCGAACAAAACAAGCGAAATTTCACTCATTTTTCTGACGATTTATCATTATTGAGCGCATCCTTATCGGATTTTAATCGACGTAAATAATATTTACAATTATAATTAAGTCAAATTTACATATTAAATATACAGAATCGATAAAAATCTCCATAAAATATGATTCACGAATATGCAAATGAACAACGCACAGTAGCGAAATCTATCGATGATCCATTCCATGATAAAATATGAATTATACAAAGGAGAAAACGATCACGAAACATTTAAAATTCAAGAAAAAATAAGTAAAAATAATAATAACAACAACATTCAAAATGTAAATTGCATCCTGCAATCTAATTATGCAGACAAAGGGAAGATTTATAGAAAGTGAAATTAGTTTTTGCCATTATTCAGTTGGATAAACCCTGTTTTACGAGGGAAAAAATGATAATATCTTTGTATATATGACTAAGAAAATTTATAGTTTAAGTAATTTTTATTTTTAAATTTAAATAAGCTTAAAAAGAAAATATAATAAAAATTTATAGACTGGAATTTCCCGAAGAGTTTCTCCCATTCTCTTACTTTTCGACTGGTTATTTTAGTTTAAACTACTTTTTTTTAATACAAAAATAAGCATTTTTAAATTAATCTGTGGCTTATTTTTTGTTTATTTTATGTATAAAAATTTTATTTTTTAATAAATTAAAATAATTATAAAGATTTTTTAAAAGTCGTATGCTAATTGATCCCGCTTATCATTTTTGTACATTCAAGAGCATCGTTTTGAAGTAAGAGGATGAAAAAATAAAAAATATTTAAAAAATAATAATTTGAAAGTTAAAAAACCTTATAAAGTTAACTTTAAATTAATAAAATTAAATCTCAACTATAATTAAATATATTTTTTAATGGTTTAAATTCAAACAATTGAGCTGAAATTACTAAAAAGCGCCATTTTATCGACTCTTTTCTCGTGGATACAGCGGAAGACATGGCTTGAATAGAACACTTTAGCGGTGTTTTTACAGCGTAGAAGCGTTATTTTGAAGTATAATTTAAGCTGAGGAGCAAGTAAAGATTCATAAGACATCGTTAAACACTCCATCATCTCGGTTTTACATCACGAGAGACTCTTTTGTACGTAAAGAGGAGGGAAGATGGCGTAAGCTGTTATTTTATTTATAATAAAAAGAAATGGTTTACTTAACAGATGTGGTTTAGAAGCTTATAAAAGCTTCCCACAATAACCAGTTATTGGGAACAAGAACGAGCAGGCGGTGTTTAGGGGGTCAAAGGTCAAATATGTGAGTACACTTAAATATAGTCGATCACTCCCACCCATTTTTATACTTTCGACACCGGTGTGACGAGAATGGTACTTTGGAAATTCGAAATTTATTCGGGAAAAAATTCCCCCCATCGTCACAATTAATTTTAATGAAGATAAATGATGAATCGCTCCCAAACGCCAGAAAATATAGCCATTGAATGGCATTAAGCAGCTTCGAATTTAATGGGTTAAACATAATTAAATTTCCATTATGGAATTCTTTTATGGTTACTTTTCGACTCAGTGGGGCTCTTTAGATCCAGAATTGCTAGCGAATTAAGTGTAACGAAGCTGATTTAATGTAAGAATATTTTAAAAAGGAGAATGAAGTGGAAAGGGGGTTATTGGTGCATTTCACTTATTAGCTGTTTTTTTTTTATTGTAAAGAATATAATTTATGATGTCTTCGTCTGTCATTAAGATGTCAGAAATGATTCAGAATAAGTGAAAGTAAAAAAAATAATCAATAAGAGGCCTCGATTCATAAATTAAATGTCGCAAAAGGCATTTCTCTGGCCTGAAGCTGCTCTGAAGTTCCTTCGTGTTGCAAAGTAATTTATTTGCGTTCCTGTTACCGTTTAATTGTTTCAATTGTGTCGTACGAGTTATAGTTTTTTTATATTTCTTTATAAAATATAATATTTAATTAATAAAAATTAAATCAGTGGAATCTCCACTGACGAGGACATAAAAATGGCCATTGTTTAGAGCAATTTTTTTTTGCTTTAAAGAAGCTCTTGAAAAAATGGACGCTATTTAGAGGTGTTCGTTATTGGGAGGTGGCCGTTATCGAAGGTTATTTTCATAAGCAAATTGGATGTTTAGAATTTCTAGAAAAGTGAGAATTCCTTAGTTTTCTACGCGATAAATTCGTACAGAAAATTTATTTTTTCTATTTTAAAAAACTTGTTTAGCATTTTTAAATATCAACTTTACTTCACCTAATTCTGTTGGAAGTTTGAGCGTGTCAGATGAATTGGGATATCCTGAAAGGTTATCGTAGTGTTAGACAGTGGACACGGTTCTTTGCAACTCTTTTGTCTTCATGTTCTCGTTTGACACTTTAATAAAAACGCATTGACATAGTAAAATTATCTTCATTTTATGACAGTTTAGTTACAATTTCGCGTGAATAATGGTTTGTATATTTTTTCCAGTATTATTTTCTCGAAAAAAAATAATCTTGTGTTGTTCTACGTAGCGTAATGATAGGGGGAGTTCTGGTCCTAGTTAATTTATTTTAAAACACTCAACTGCACCCATGCACGATCTTTCGTTCACATTAGCACGCTTTCCACCTACGAGAGCTGTGGCCGTTTTCCTTTTTTTGGAAATCGATAGTCCTTTCACTTTCACGTTAACATCTTCTCTTGGTATTCTGCCATTCGTCTAGTGCAAGGATCGTCAGTTGTACTTCGTGAGCAAGGTCCTTCTAATTTCTGTCGAAAATTAACTTTTATATAATTCCACCCACGTTATCATTTGAGGTCAGACGTTTTATGACGTAACACTGACGTAATTTATGTAGAAAAATGGAGCAAAATCGTGAATTCGTATGAGCAAACTTAAGAGTGAGGTGCAGAGAGATTTTTTTTGGTGTAAATTTTCCTTTTTTTTTTAATGTTTAAGAAAAATATAAAGTTTTGAAAAATACAATGATCATTTTTATTAGTTATACAATAAATATTTTAAATTATTTAATAAATATTAGGCATTGCAATGTACAGGTGCTTCGGAGCAGCTTACAACAAATCTTATGACGTGCTGAGAAATTTTAAGTAGTTTTTCATTTATTTATTTAAATTTTTTTTAAATAAAGAATTTTAATCAAATTAATAATAGTTTTTTCGATTATATAATAAATATATAAATTAATACAGTAAATACTAAGTTTTGCAATGTGGTGGTACTTCAGAGCAGTATATTAAAATTTTTCTTATAAAATAATAGTTACTCTTTATTATTATTTATTTTATATTATTTACTTAAATAGATAAAATGAATAAATAGAGAATAATATTAAATTATATATTTTAATATATTCCCGTGCCCGAGATTAGAATAATGACGAGATATTAATAAAAATTAAGCAAAATTTGTATAAAAATACAATTAATTATATATTTAATACATTGTAATTATATATAAAAATGTGGAAACCCTTGAAAGAGATGTTCCTAAACTAGATATCATACTTTAAATTATATATTTATTCAAATATTCTTTGAATTCTTTATTAATGCAACCTTTGCCGCCTTGTATTCAATATCAAAAAAGTAGAAATTCCACCCATTAAGAGCTGCTCCATTCGGGTGGAAGTGCTTTTAAAATATTTCTAATGTTGACAACTAGTTATCAGTTTTAATATCCGGCTCGGTTTTCTACAATTCATGAGGTTATAAGGTTATTGAAAGTCCTTGTAACCCACGCTCCACGTTCCACCTCATCTATTGAAAGTGAAACCTCTCAATGAAATTTCGCTTGTAATTTTTGTGGTTTTTGTTTAAAAAATGGGACCTAAAAAATGGTTACAGATCATTGACAGCATTCTAAATTGGTGTAGAAGAGAAATTTTATACGCTCTGTTTTGAGCCAACTTTATGGATTGAGAATAACAAACAGGTGTTGTATGGGAACGGATTAAAAACACCTGCAGATGATAGATGACTCACCTTTGCTTTTAGGTAAACGGAAAATTTGGAAAGAGTTGCAGACGTTGTTTACATTAATTTCATACAAATTAAGTAACGTGCGTTACAGCAACGTCACTAACGCCTTAACTCTTTCAACCAGACACAAGAAAACTTTCCCCATCTGATACCATTATTTAAAAATGCTGTCAACATTGTTGCTGGACTTCCCCTAAATTTTTTATATGTTTTCAACCCTAATAATTGCTACCATCACATTTGTCTTCAGATTGATTCGGGTGATATTAAGGGGATGGGCCATACCTCCCTAACCAATGGTCCGATTTTTCTGAAAATTTGTAGAAACATTTCCCCCTAGTACACAAACCTCCCTGCAAAATTTCAGAAAATTTTGGTAAAAGACACAGGAGTTATCGTGCCCCCACACAGCAATATCCATGAATAAAGAAATCCCCCCTGGACGTTTCAGGTTCCCCCAATCCGAAGGTGTAGAAATCTTGAGAAGTCATTTTTTTGCCCGATCGCCACACTCTCCCTCTGTAAAAAAAATTAAAATAATATCTTAAAACTAATTGGTAATAAATTTATACGGTATAAATTTAGTAATTTAAGCATATTAAAATTAAATTAACCACAATAACATTGCTTAAATCGTGCATAGAATATTGATAAAAATCATAAAATAATGAAGAAAATAGTTTTATTTGGGACTTTGTATTCGCTTTTATCTTTCCGAGACATTAGATTAAGCGTGTTATTACTTGTAAAAGGATATAAGTGAAGAAAAACTGGTTAGTTATCTGGAAGAGAAAACTTTCTCCAATTCTCACATACCTCACCAAATGGCCTACATTCGTTGGATATCGCATAAGTCTCTAGACGTGCGCAGACACAGGCGTGTCTTCAACATGACGTAGACCTTGCGGGGGGAAAGTAAACTGAACTGTCACCCAGTTTTCCAACATGGGGAGATGGTTCTTCCCCCTTTCATTCCAGAAAACCATCCCTAAAACGAAGGCGGTAATGATGATACCTGCGTCATCCGAGCCCTATATAAAGTGCTGCTCATCACTCGAAGCATCAGTCTGTCTTCTCGAAAATTTGAGGATTTGTGCAATTCGATACTTCACCCTTAAAAGATGTTTTGGGTAAGCTAATTTCAAACTTAAAACTAAGTTTAAACCGTGCTCCAAATCCAGGTTTAACTTTAATCGTGCTCCAAATTTAATTCATAATTACATTTGGAGCAGGATTTAGAGTAATAATTTAAATTTTTGTTTGTTTTTTTTTTTGTAGATTTGCCTTATTTTAGCCACTGTAATCTGCGCATCGGCTAGAAGCCCTTACGGTGATAACTATCAACCAGCAGCGGCAACTAATGTTGGCGGGGGTTATAGACCTCCTCAACCCGGACGTTTTCGCCCAGATGAGAACGTATGAGAGTAAATTTACATAGCAACGTGTTGCTTTACTATCGCAGGATCTCTAAAATTGTTTTTATGCATTGCAGTACCCTCCCCAACCCTACCAATTCAATTACAACATAGACGATGGCTTCGGCAATCAGCAGTACCGTCAAGAAACGGGTGACCAGAACGGAGCCGTAAAAGGAACTTATGGCTACTACGACGCCAATGGAGTATACAGAAACGTGGATTACGTTGCAGATGCTTATGGATTTAGAGCCACCATTCGCACTAACGAACCGGGTGTAGGCGCAGACAACCCAGCTGACGTCAGCATCGACGCCCAACCACCCCCAGCCGGTCTTCAAGAGAGATATACCAAAGCTGGAGGTGGATACGTTCCACCCCCAAGTTCACATAGAAGACCACCATCACCATCGGGAGGAATCAGAAGGCCAGCATATTAAATAAGTAGGGTCGAAATAGTTCCTGCTACATATCTCTTCAGGAAGAAAGCTGAATCCTCATCGGAGGGCATTATGCGGGTTGTACGCACAATGTCTACAAGATGCCATCTTTAAAGGGGTATTACATTAGCGTTTCTGCTGCTGTAGGTATGAGGCATTTCGGGATTTCGCATTATGTATGTAATTTGTCAAGTCGCCTGGAAATATTAACTGTGTAAAGCACTTGTTTTGTTGCATTACCATTAAAAAGAAAAAAAATTGATTGTTAGTAAAAATTTGTGTTCAGTTCTATAATTAACACCATTTAAGATATTACTAAAATTTTAATTTTAATGTATTTTCATGTATTCATAATTTAATTCGCGAATATTTAAATTATTAAATTTTATAGATAAATCTTTAAATTTAAGGTTTAAAATTCGATTATTTAATTAAATAAGCAAAAGGTTTGCCTGAATTTTATATTATTTTACTTTAAAAAGAGCTAGAAAGTGGCATAAGATACACATAAACAATACATAAAAGTATTGATATTAACCTAAGCTTGTTAAAGAGAATCGTGATAGAAAGGTCAAAACTATTATGATTATTATTATTATAAAAAGAGTAATTTGTTTTATCACGGTAAAAATATGTTAAAGTAGGTTATGTAGACAATGAAATTTATAAAATACAAGTTTAAAAAAATATAAAATATACAATAAACAATAAAAGATATCGCCATCTCGATACAACGATACAAAATGGTTTTCTGTTAAATGATGTTATTTAGTTAAATATTTTGATTTTTACATTGTTTACACAATATCAATCTAGGAATTGTTGTTTTCATTATTATCAACATTATAAATGGTTATAGAATGATTTATTAATCATCTATAACGTCTACAGTACTATCAATATGCCTACATTTATAACTTAAATATTATGTCTTACTATTAAAATTATATTAATCAATAGATTATTATAAAATATAAAAGCTCACAGTATAAAAAATCATAATATAGAGAATTTAAATGTATTTATTAGCTTAGAGTAGGCTCAATTTTGCCCGCTATGTTCGCCTCATCTGTAATGAGGCTATCAGAATTAGAGCCATACTTACATGCATACTTTTGGGCGGTAAATTATTGTGAAGACCTCTTTAAAAATATCAGAATCCGAATAATATTCTTATCTTAAATAAGGATATCTCGATTTATTCTTGCATCCAAGCCCAAGAATCTTTGCATGATTTTGATATTTGCTTGATTCACCTACTTCCAGGGCCGCTTAAACCTTAGGTTTCGTTTACAATTTTTCTTCATACGTCTCAAATTGTTACCGTTTCCTCTCCTCATTCCAATCGTTTTAAGTCCGCGGTCACGTCATCTTTCCACCTGAGTCTTGGCCTTCCTCCTGGTCCGGTTCCAATAATATTGGCTCTATAGACTAGCCGTTCTTCCTGAGGACATGTCCAACCAACTGTAATGTTCTACTTTATTGTAATCTTTAGTAGTAAAATTAGTGTGTATTTGTCAAAATTAATTTAATTGGTGGCTCAGAGCCCCAAACTAGTGCTTACTGATATATGTATGACCTGATCAAATTAGATGACGAATGAGAAAGAAAGGTGAATTATATGAGTAATTTAATAAAAATTACTTGTAAAAATCATTGAATTTCGAGTTTGAAGCATTTAAATCATGTTGAAATTTTTGAAAAATTGCAAAGATTCTGTGAAGATTCTGGGTTCGAATCCCGCCTTGAATCGGAAACCCCGAAACTTAGATGAAATTCCGTGCCATAAAAGGAATTTTATTATTATTATTATTATTAGAATGTTAAATTCTGTTTATTTTATTAGATTATATTTACAAAATTTTACAGAATATTATATTTGTTTTATTTAAAAAAACTTAAATTGCTTACTAAGTAAAAAATAGAAACAAATTTTTAATTATCGTTAAAAATGACATTATAATATATGAAAAATATTAAAAAATTAAAATATAAATTAACTTTAAATACATAATAATATTATTAACTGTAATTAATTAGTTTTAAATTCAAAAATAATATTTTATTATTAAACTTATTTAAATTTAAGAAATATATATACTGTATAAATTTTTGTAGGCCTATTCGTAAAAATGGCGACGTCGCCATCTAGCGTAATATATGAAAAACAATTATTAAAAATAAAAAAAAACAGACGATAATATTTTTTAAAAATAGAATAAAATAAAATAAGAACATATTTGAATATGAAACAATGTTTAAGAGTGAATAAAATTATAAATGCAATTAAAAATTTTCTTTTAATTTGAATTAAAATATAATGAGGAAATAAACTTTTAACATTTTCATCAATAGGGAGCGCTATTCAAAAATTTCTAATTAACATTTTAAAATAATAATATTTCTTTTATGCCGAATTTGATTATTCTTTTATTCGATTATTTTAAATGTTTAATTAAATAATAATAATATAATAAAAATTTTCTGGCAGATGTTGAATTTAATAAAAACGTGAATCGCGGATTTAGGTCACATGAACAATGAAAGGACATAAATTGCTAATTATTAGGTCTAAAAAGATGTTTTATATATTGCTTAGTATTTCTATAAATTAAACGATTAATTTCCTTTTTCTTTTTTTCTACTCAGTTATTCTTGAACTTTCCTCGATTGGATGTAGGACATTAGTAAACACCCAGGCTTGGAATGTCCATTATGGTTTTGAAATTGGAAGTTTTATGAGGCGCGGTCTCTCTACGACCTTGTTAAGGTCGTTCGTAACGGGCTCGAATTCCTCGAGGGGTTAAAAAATTCACTGATTACGTTTTAACATGGCTTCCAAGTAACCTATCGGCTTATCGCTGGTGGATTCAGGTTCGAATCTAATGTGGATCCTTATGATTTATCGTTGATAGGAGCTTTTTTCCGCCTTAATTCATGATACTGACTCCGTAGTGGGACTGGTTCTTTATAAATAAGCGAAAATTGGGCCTGTATGTAACCTATAATACGATGCTAGCCAACTGAAAATTTAGACAATCTAGGCTCGTGTTATGTGGATTATATGTTCCTTTGGGCACAACAATCATCTGATATGTTATATCCTTACTTGGATACGATCGTATATGTCCAAATAGAGAGGCATGTGAATATATTTGTGAATTAAACCGCAACATTGGTCGTGGTTCGCGCCTGACCAACGGGCTGCCCGGGTGGAGTTTACTTTTTTTTTTTATGTATCTAACACCTAGATAGAGGCCAGTTTTCCATCGAAAGTCTTCCCTCAAGGCATCCCCTTGGCAGATTGCTCTCGTGTGTTGCATTACCTATTCATAGCAATCAACCAAATCTTAATTAAAACATTCTAAATTTGAGTACAGTTGTATTGAAAATTTTAATTAATACTCCTAAATTCATACCAAAAAATTCTTGTAACTATTTGTTACAATTACGCTTACGTCATTTATTGCAATGGAGCATAAGAAGGGGCTCGAAGTAGCCAGAAATCTGCGATTGTTTCTCCCCAAAAGCCATAAAAAACACTAAATTTTCAGACCCTCCTATGTCTAACGGTTCCAAAACTTGAGTCTGCTGACTACAATCGAATTTAAAATTTTGAAGCTATAAGCTGTGAAATATAACAGGTCCTCTCTCCACTTACCATTTCTGTATATTGAGGCCCTAAATTACTGCTTTAATTTATGTGTTATGCGGCCCTGTTGCTGGCACGTCCCTTTATCTGGGTATACAGTTGAATATAAAGCTGCAAAACTACATTAAATAATTTTAGAGCATGTTTAAACTTTTTTATTATTATAACACTTTATACTCTCTACGTGCAAATTTTATTAAAGTATGAGAAATTCAATTTAACGAGCAAACGATCTAATTCATTCAGCTTATATATTTGACGATGATGAAGTATAACTCGAGGGCGTGATCGAAAAATTAAATAAATACAGGTCACAGTCCCTGGAGGAATGACAACATTTTTAAAAAATGGCGAACAAACAATACGCCCGCAGCTAATGAGGAAAAAAAAAGATGAGGAAACTCCAAAGGATTCAAGGTTAATTCTCCAGTGAAAGTTGTTAATTCTCACAAAGGAAGAATGGAAAATTAATTTTATATCTAATTAGGTTATCGATAGAGTAAAATAATACCCCATAACTTCACCTTTAAGTTCTCACTTTCACTCGGGTGTAATAATGATGGATGGATCGATATTAAGTAGAGCATCTGAGGTTTGGAAAATATTCAGCAAAAAGGGGCCCTCCATCAACAGGAGGCTCCAAACCTATCGTTTTATAAACTCGTTATTGTAATAAGAATATCGAAATTTAAATTTGGGCCATATCTAGAAATCCTGATTGCCGGCACGGTTCAGGAGCAGGGTGCAATGGTGCCATACATTACACCCGTCAAAGAAACTCGGACGAGAATTTCCCAAAAATTTCTCCACAGAAAATTGTTTGAAGTCGACACTGTACGTGTGGCCTCCTCCTAATTCAAATTTGCCTGAGCTCCCACCGAGCTACTGGGAATATTTTCAAAAAATTTCTTAAGAAATCCCGTTCTATCAGCTGTTATCCTTTTGAAAATGATTTTTCTATTGTTTTCTCCTTGTAAACGCGAATTGGAAGTTGCATAAAGATAACCTAAATATCGTAGAGAAAGAGTTTGCTTGTTGCCTTGCCTACACGAATTGACTCATGAACTCACAATGTGTTCGGTCCCATAGAATAATGTAAATTTTTCCTCGGGGGGATCTTTGACTTGATGCTGATTTATGAACAATATGAGTAGAATTAGGCTATAATACGAAGTTTTCTCTTCCTGAATTTTACATATTATTATTATGCAAATTAATTCAATTCCTTCATTGAAAGTGGGATTCTTTCAATGAGGAAAAGTGTGTTGCATTTTTAATTGCATATTTTGTTATAATTAAATATCTTTATAGATTTTAATTATAGATAATATTTTAAGATATTTAATATGAAATTAGGGAAGGGTGCAAGAGTTTAAACATTTGTAATTTTAATGTATAGTGCAACAATCCCTAATTCTTTAAGATTAATGATTGAGTTGAGGGTTGTTGCGAGCTTTACATTTGAGTATTAATTCTCTAAATTTAAGAAAATTAAAGCTTAAACTTCTTAAATGTCTTTAAATTCCGATATAAGCCCAGCAACTGACCAAATTAACCTTTCTATCAGTGATTTTTGCATTAGTTATTTTATCAGGCTATGTTTATGTGGATGGGTTTCTGCATTAAATTAAAGAAAATGTAATGTAATATGGTAAATATATATTTTATATGAGCTCATAGCAACATTTAATCAGGTTCCTGTGTAAGTTCAATCACTCCTTTCATACATACAGCACTTTTATTCTCTCTCTTACAAAAGTATAGGCTTTTCTGATGGACTTTTTATACAGAAATCGGAATTTTAAATAGAGCAAAGCTACTATTTTGACCATTCACGAATTTGAAATTATTTTAAAAAGAATTTCCCCCCAAACAAATGTCCATTAAGCAGTCTATAGGCGAATAACCATTGTGTTCAAGTTTTGCTAGCAAAAATATTATTTAGGTCGGAGTCGGTGCCTAAGCTATTAATCACTTTTAAGTAACCGGACTGCTTAATTTGCATATAATCTATCCAAATATGGTCATTCTTACAGAAATTTCGAATTTTCCCGCATTTTTTCATCTGTCTTAACTCTCTGTATCGAGTAGAGAAGCCGCGACTCTTTCTCAAAGGACATTGTTGAAGGTCGTAAACCCATGTTAACGACCTTCGTTAAAGGACATTGGTTCTTATGCAATTCTTCTTATTCAATCCGTTTAATAAAATAAAAGGTATTTTTATCGATTGCGCTTCTGTTATTAAATCATAAGCAGAATTCTCACAGTTTTCTCTTTTCAATGTGCCATTATGCAACGTTATTACGGTGATTTTTTCTGTTTAAAACTTCTGAAATACCGTATAATAATTTTAAAATTATTATGCTTAAGTTTCTGGCGGATTATATATAAAGGAATTTACATTTATTCTTAACAATATTCCCTTATAAAAAACAACAAAAGACATTCAAACTCCAATATTTAACGAAAAATAAAAAAAGAACACGAAAGAAAGCATGCAATATGCAATAAAATATAATTTAAATTAGTAAAAATATAATTTTAAATAAAAATTTGCTTTACGTATGCAAAAATTGCATACGTAAAGCAAATTTTACACTCTTTCTTGCATACCTTTTATTAAATATGAAAGTTTGAATACCCCAAACAAACACAGTATCTCACAAAGAGGTGAATATACTAAATAACTGCTAGAATTATACATAAATACAGCATAAATATTTCATCCTTATACACGTAAACTATATTAATAGATACGTAAGATGCACGAGAACACGTACGCATCCTAAATGCACGAGAAAAAAAGTCAGAAAGGGATGAAGAAGATCACACGTGCAGCATCCTCTATGACGTCTCCAATATAAGAATATTGATCAGATAAAATGCGATAAGAGAAAGAATAATTTATAAAATATAATAAAACAATATCAATTCTTACAATTTATTGTTATTATTTAAATTTTTTTGTTTTTTATTTCGCATAAATGCCACATTGTTTCACTTCTCTCTCCCCCACGTAAACAATCGTTTATCCTTCGACCGATATAATGAGTAGTTTTTTGTTTCATAATCTCAATTATATCTTCTTATCAAGAAAACATAGAGAACAATCCGTGTTGAACACAATTTATTGTTAAAACATTATGCAGTGTCAAATGTGTCAACGTGTCATAAGCATCTAAATGACGCTCGATCTCCTTTTTACTCTCGTCGAAATTTTTAATTATTCAAATGTCGCCCACGTTTTTTACGTTATTAATATATTAATGGACCCTCCTGACTTTAATTTACGAAAATAATAATTACAATTTAACTTGTCAAACATGTTATTTATTTATTTATTTATTTTATCACTTAAAGGTTAATTCACGAGCGATGGAAACTTTATACAAACTTATAAACCCTTTTTACTTATTGGCAAATTAAGTTTGGTCGTTGAATATATTAAAATTGAGAGTAATTTACGTACCGGGGGTCGGCAAGCCTTTATGATAGGGCCTCGTATACGTGGGGGGCCCACGTAATTGTCTTTTACGTAAAGAAGCGTGACACGAATTGAATAATGAGAATGAACACGACAAGAAGGACGGGGTCAGTAGGATAATTTAGTAGGGCCCCCGACTAGGAGGGGCCCCTGAATTTAGTTTTTTTTAAATGACTAAATTCGATTCGTGTCGTGTAAAGACACTGGGCGCGTGAATCGAATGATAAATGAATAGGCCAATTAGTATGGTCTTTTACTAGGGCCTTGGACATAGAAGTTTCTCAGAATATATTAACGTAAAGCTTCTTTTGATAAATGGCAAAAAAATATTGATTTTTTTTGTTTTTTCCATATAATTGTTTGTCTTTCGGAGACTGGTCTGGGCCCCATTCCAACTCTCTCAGGCCCTAATATGAGTCGTACGTTTATCATCTCAGAAACCATTCATTTTCTATTGTTATCGATTGATCAATTAATACTATAACAAGGTCAAGTTAGATGATGCAATCTCTTGTAACATAGGGTGGCCCAAAAATCGGTTAACCGTCGTAAAACTCGGCTGCAATTAACTAATTACACAAATGATTTAACTGTACCTTTATTAATTTTGTAAAAAAAAAAAAAAAAAAAAACACGCCGTTCTAAATCCGGGTACACCTGCAATTTTTGCCCACAGACTACCTGAAACACAGGCATTGAAACTCGGTTAACTGACCTTTAGGCCGGTCTTGTGTTTTCAAATATTGTATAATACTACGCTGTTATTTCTTATATAATATTTGAAGACAAGCTTTCATTTGTAATTTAGAAGCATTTTAAGATGCTCGCTTCTATAAGAATGCATGCTTTAGATAAAAAATTTAGTGCCTTCAGGCTTGTTTTATGCTTTATAATTTTTTTAATATTTAAAAATAAAATAAAATAAAGATATTAAAGACTTTTAAGCATAATTCCTTTTTTTCCTGAGATTTTTTTCCTTTTAAAAATGATTGTAAATTCCCGGAAAATGAGGAAGTTTATCCGAGCAAACACGCGCGAGACTGATGCTAATTTTTGGAAGAAAGAGCTAATTCATGGGAAAATAAACTCTAAATTAACTAATATTTTGTAACAGAAGGTTGCATAACCCCTTCGTCTGGAGAATTTTCTATTGTTTACAGATTTTGAAATGATATTTCACAATTTTCTGTAACACACGTCCTTGTATGCAATTCCATATAGGAATTTTTCACCCCCTTTTTTTTCTATGCGTTTAATTTAAATTTAAACGCTTTTACCCGAAAATTAGCAAAGGAAAATCACAGAAAAAATGTTAATTAATCTTATGACTGGTTTCATAGAAAATTATTTTAACAATTCTTAATCGATTCGGAGGTGTTACCGACATAATTATTAATATTAAAATTCTTTACGATTGCTTAAATTTATGAGTCGAAAGATGTGATGGAATGTAAATTTGCTATGAATATCTTAAGCCAAATCACATAAATCACCATCCCTACAACACAAACTTTCTCTGTCGAGCCTCCGAGCAATGCTAAGGGCACTCTTTAGCCTACTTAACCAGGCATTTACACTCTGTTAATCGAGGCAACCTCCGATGTTACCCCACCTTTACCCACTAGTAGGTGGAGAGGAAACACCCTGCTTTACTTCTGCAATTGTCTGGATCTATTGTTTGTTCTGGGTGAAAGTATGCGGCCGATTGAAAAGATACCACGCGCAAAAAAAAAATTAAAAATTAAAAAAGAAGGGGAGGATTCGGAACTATGTCCTCAGCTTGTCACTTTCCACGAAACGGATGACTAGTTAGAGATGTCATACTTTTTTTTTCATTGTCACTTGTCATTGGAACAGGGTCGAGGTGACACACATTTCTTATCCTGCGCGTTCCACCCTTCATAGACCGAGCCGTACCCCTAGGCAAGGGAGGAGAAGAGGGAGGGTGCAAATTCGAATGGTAAGGGGAGGTGCAGAAATTCGGGATTTCGCTATATAAGCCGACGATTTCTTGGTTAGCTCAGAGTCGAAGCAAACAACCAACAACAAACATGCTTAAGGTAAGCAGCTCTCTTCAATCTGAAGGGATAGTTGAAGAATTCAATTCAATTAACTTTTACTTTAATGTCTTCGATTTTATTACAATTATTTAGGTAGCCGTGCTATTCTCCATTATTGCCTACACTTTGGCAGGATATTTATATAAGGCACCAGTGGTTTACAAACCGGCACCGTACGTAGCCAAACCCTTCTACGCTCCTGCACCTTATGTAAGTATGGTTAAGATGTTGAGGATCATCATCAATGCGCTTCGATAGTTAATAGTAGCTTAAATTTAAGCAATTTTAAAGATTTATTCTTATAATTAGACAATGAATTATATTAATTTTGTACAGTACGAGAAACCCAAACCGTACGATTTCGGATATGAAACCGTTGATGAATTTGGCAGCAAGCAACACAGACAGGAAACTGGTGATGGTGCCGGTGGAGTAACAGGAAGCTACGGTTACGTCGATCCTTGGGGCATCTACCGTCAAGTAGATTACATTGCTGATGAATTAGGATACAGAGCTACAGTTAAGACCAACGAACCAGGAACCGCCAACCAAAACCCAGCCGCTGTCAACGTTGTTGCAGACCCAGTCCCAGCTCCCGCACCACCCCCGAAAGTATACGTTAAGCCCGTTGTTCCAGTAGTCAAGAAGGTAGTAGCCGCAGCACCTTACTACCCCCCACCCCCACCCCATCCCTATGGCCCATACCCAGGACCAGTGGTTAAGGCTGTAGCACCCGTCTATGCCGGACCAGTTGTAAAGAAGATCGTATATTAAGGACTATAAGGGACTATGGATATTTGTAGTATAATTATATAAAATATACATATATATATAAATAAGTTATTCTATGTATTTTTCTGGCATCCGCTTGCTTCTGAGAAGTGAGTAGCTATTTATCCTATTGTATCGTATGCATCGCTTGTAGCTGTACTGTATCTGCATATGCCTTGTAATAAATGTAAATTTTTATCATACAAACTCAATCTTCACCTTTTTCCATATTCTAGACATGCTATTAATTCAAAAAATACCATTATTTATGAGAAAATCCCATTGAAATGAATTCTGACACTAGAAACGTCGCGAGAATGCATGATGAATTCCGCTTTATACACGCCTTAATCCTTAATTTTATACCTCAGAAACGATCAAAATTGATTTTTTTCAACGTGTTACAAAATATAAAATAATTTAAAACGCTATTTTACACTATAAATCTTTAGAAAATCCTTCAAAGAACACCGTACAAAGTAATTAGACGTGTTGCGCCGTATTAATAAGTGGTTGATAAGATAATAGCCGTTGTGTTCTACTTAAAAAATCTTTTAAACACTATAAAATAAGATCAGAATAAACAAGAGGACCTATATCCAAAGACAAATATTACATTGAATTTAAAACGTGCCCTCATATTTATGTTACATAATATCGAAAACTCGTTTGAGTTATACAATAAAATGTGTAACACTGAGTAATACAATACGTTTCACTCCCCACCTGTTATGGTAAAATACGATTTATCTAGTCTATTGTTGACCAGAGACACACCTGTTTCACCTGTTATAATTCTAAGAACAACTAAGAGCGAAATTTATTGTTAGAAAATGAAGTAGAATAATTGCTATTCCATGACAATTTACTACATAAAATAAGGGCTATTGAAGGCATTTTATACTTATCAATTTCATGAGTATTAGAGCAATTCAAGATTTATGAGGTTTCTTACAAAACAGGAACGTATCCATCAAATTTTTATAATTTCTTTTTTATTTTTAAAAAATTATTTTAACTCGTATCTTCAGAAAAACTAGTTTAATAAAATGTCATATAACTGAGCTTATCGATAAAGGAACCTCTCTAATTTTTTGCTCACCTCTCAGAGGATAATGAGAAAATATCAAGAGTCACTTTCGTCTCTGACGAAATTGTTCTGGTCGATCATTAACCTCTATAGTTTACTTTTAAATAAGTGTAATTATCTAAGGGTTGTTTATATTCTTCTTTTCTTTATGGTTTGTACGGAAGAAGTGAGTTTCCATGTTGATCTAGCGTGTAAAACATACTAAAGAACACTTTTTCTTTAACATATTTGCATTTTTTAATGTGCAAAGTTACACGTGTTCTAGATTTATTTCATACTTCTAATGGGCTAAATTTTGTAATTTAATCCTTCATTTTGTATGAAATATGTAAATTATGTACCGTATACATATTTTAATATGTAAAAAGAGATAAAAATGAAATGAATGCAGGCATAAAATTAATAGAAATTTAGATTTTAGGTGATGGTAACAAGTGACAAGGTTATCTGACCTGAGAAGGATAGAAGTTTAATGCCTCTTACTAAGTGAAATTAATGAAAAAATCATGCACAGCATATAAAAAAACCTTTTATCCTTCGATTATTAATCATTTTTCTTAAGTGTAATATAGTAAAATTAGTTTTATAAGGGCACGAATTTTTTGAATCGTGATATTTTAAGACGAGACATTAATAAAATGAATGGAGGTAGGCGCACTTATAATATGGGGGAAGTGTATGGTAGATAAGCAATTAACTATCTTTAAAAATTTAACTAGATCATTATCGATTTAACAGCCTCACTCGTAAGTTTGTAGAACCTATTCTCGCTTTTAAAAAATGCTCTTCCTAATTCTCATCCCCTCCAAGTTATAAAGAATGACAATTATTAATATTGTCATTCATTCGATCCCCCTTCGACATTCATTACACAAGAATACTTACGTAAACAGTATTTTGACGAGGTCGAAACTTCGTGACATCGTGTCATTGACTCACAACATGCAAAATTTTGCTCTACTTTTTCTCTTATATTTTATTTTAATATAAACAAAATCTTTTACAGACTTTCATTATCGACCTACTTTTGCATAATTTTGGGATTCTATTTCCGGAATGAAAAACGCTTATTCGAAGTCCATTTCTTGAATAATAATAATAATATATAGGAAAAAAACAAGATAGAAATCATAGTGATTAGTCCACCCGGCTTCTGTAACTACGAGTAATTTAGTGTTGTGGACAAGACACGCTCTCTGGACACACCACACGAAGAATGCGGAAGAGCATCCAATTTTTAATCAAAATTTCTATAAATCAGTTTAAATAAAAAACATAATTGTACTTACTTTACGAATTTAGTTCAGTATTTTTATAATTATAAATAAATTTCCATCCATTTACAGTGTTTGTACGCAAATTACCGTATATAACGCGCACTTTTTCTTTTGTGTATTTCTGTACTTGAATCCGTTTTGAGCCTTAAATTCGAAGTAGATATGTAATTAACTTGTAATGTTTTCCCTGGAAAACGTTATTTTTAAACTTGGGGGTGCGTCTTATATTCAAAGTAATGCGGCTTATCTGTAACTATGTTATGAAGACATTGTTTTTTTTTTCTTCTGATTCTCATTATAGAACAATGCTAGGAATGCTCGTTATAATTTATCATCAAGATTAAACTTAATTTAGCATCTAAAAACGGCGATAGTTTATTGTGTGAAGTAAATTTATCAACTGATTTCCTCCTGTTCTAGAATTAAATATACACCACTCGTCGTTGAGTTCTCGGATGTAATTTACTGGTTCTAATTTCATGTTACGATAAATGATTTTGATATTATAAGTAATGCTTAGATTCAAGTAGCATGTGAATCGAAATTACAATCTATTTTACTAAAAAAGAATTCAGGAAAAATTCGATCGGTATCTAAATCTTATCGACAGGAATTCAAGTTCGATAGGAAAGGTACACGTCGGCTTTCAGTAAATTTTAAATTTAAATTTAATAAAATCTAAATTTAATTTAAAATGGATTCACGGGACTCTAAGCAACGTGTAGGAATGATTATTTGATTCATAATTCTATATCATTTATAAATCAGNATTAATTATCTCATAATTATATTTAATAACTCGACAATGATAAATGGATACAATATAAACGAAATTTAATTTTTTATTACATTTTTTCTTAACCACTCACAAGTGTATTGTGTTTATCAATAATCAAATTAATTAAATTTATGTTTATAATTTATTAAATTAATAAATTTCCTTTAAATTTTAAGCATAAATTTTCTTCTTTAATTTATATAATCAAACTTCTAATAAAAGACACCTGTAAACATGAAATTTTTACTGTTTTTTAAATAAAAATACATACAAAAAAACCTCCAAATAACGGCCATTCTTTATATTTCTCGGTGGCCGTTATTCAGAGGTTTGATAAAACTAATATTTAAGTTTGTTTTTGTTTGTTTTTTTTAATTTTAAACTAGGACCTTCTCTTCTCTTTTTTTATCCTCTTTCTCATCCCTTAATTCTCTTCCTTTCTTCACCATAAACAGAATTATAATTGTAAATAAATAAATACTGTAGACAGATAGATAAATTCGTAATAGTGTAAAATATATAAAGTGTTGGATAGGAATAATGTAAAAAGGGTAAAAGTCAAAGACGACTTATCATATATATATATATATATATATATATATACTGTTTTGGCTGTGTATAAAGTTTCTAATCGATCACGATCGGTCATTCCATTCCGTAAAGAAAATACTGAAAGATCATGATCGATCAAGACTGGTCAGTTTTCAGACAGCCTTACTTTTATATCAAGAGTATAGATCATGAGAAAGATCCTTTTTCAGCTCATCCTAAGAAGCAAAACAAAGTATAAAATACAAAAAAAAATACTTTAATCTCTACCGATTTAGAGATGTAAAACAATAAGATAAAAATTTGCCACGCTCCAGTGATGCAACCTCCGAACTTCAAATGTAGGCAGAAGGGTGGTGCGCAGAGATATCTCCTGTCTAGAGCACCATCATTACGTCAGGTGTGGTCCGTATGCCACGTGAAATACACGAGAGTGGGACCATAGGTACGACCAAGCCTATCATGATGACCTATAAAAACAATGAGGTGTAAATTTAACCCTTTCCTGCAAGGACGGGTATATATATATGGAGAGTGGATGGTGATTTTCCTGAAAGCATCGTTTCAGCTCGCAAAGATGAAGGAGGTACGATTCTGTTTCTCTTCCTCTTATCCTATACTTAAAAGGATCTATAACAATTTTTTCGTATATATATATACAGGTATATGGAGTTTTAATATTATTTGTGGTCGTCGTTTCTGGAGGTTACGTTGCACCAGGCCCGTATCACGATCCCAGTTACGTGAGTATAAATCTGATTTTTATTACGACTGTTTTGGTAGAATTAAGGAATTTTTGAGCTTGTATGCGAGAGGGAAAACAGGGGTGATGGAAGAGAGAAAGTATTATTTTTTTCCCTTAACTTTATTTTCAGTCAACAACCTTAAAGAATGTCCCACGAAAAACTTTTTGACCTAATTGGGCGGTTCTCTGTCTTTTTTTTAAATCTACAAAACCTCTTAAAAATAATGGCTTAAGATGTTGTTCTAAGAAAAGTTCTTCCGTAGATAAAAAATACAACAATAATACTTTAATATTGTACAAAATACAGGAGATCTGATATAAAAAAAAAACCCAAATTTTCCCTCTTTCTACCGAAATAGTGAGTATGGTTAACGAACTGTAAACAAAGGAATTCATTTTTGTTCTTTTTTTTCCATGTATAATAATCGACTAAACGTTTCTTTTGTAAACATTTCCCCCTCTTTTAAATCATTAGCATTATTTAAATTTTTTCTAAAAATATTCAGGTTAAGTATAATTAATAATAATCACGTCTATCTATAAGGGGAATTACATTAATGATATAATAATATCGTGACGATATCCTGAGGAATGGTGCGTGACGTCGGATGATAAAAAGAATAAGGAACCGACGATTGAGGACACCATTGTGATGAAATAATTGTTTAATAAACAAGAAAGGCTCTAATCAGGACCGTAATTGGGCAATTTCGTCGCTAATTGATAATTTGTTATCCTTTTGAGACACTTAACTAAAGAAAGGGAAGTGAAATTGGGCGGATACTTACAATTTTTAAGCTTTCTCTTCCTTATTTTTACTTTTTTATATTGTTTTTCATAGGAGAAAGGCTCTACATTCGGTCACACATTATTACTTTCCCTTATAATTCTATAGACTTATCGGGATTTTTATATAGGGCTGTCAGATTTAGTATAATTTGTGGCTCACGAACTGAGAAAACATTCTTCTGTATGACTTAATGGGCTATTCTTTGCGCTTTTTAAAGCTATAAATATTGTAGATAATGACCTTTCGTGCATTTGATGCTATTTTAGAAACTGGGAAGACAACCGATAACGTAGAAAGTTAAAAATATAAAGAACTAAAGAGAAATTTTTGGAATTTGTTAGTTATTAGATGTAAAGGTTTGATAATAATTAAAATGTTTTTACTTTAAGAAGTGTGAACAATAACCCATTAAATGGAAACAATTCGATTTTGTCCGTGCTCAACAGTGCCCTCATGGCATTCATGAGGGCACTGCTGAGCTACCATCCTCATTGGCATCCCTGAGGATAGTAGCATGAAAACAGCACACGATTCTCCCATTATAAAACCTTTAAAAAATTGCAAAAATTCGAAAAGTTTCTAAATATAATTATATCCCTAAATATATTATAAATTTTTAATCAGAGCAATACTCAAAATTCACGATTAAAATCAGTTAAAAGTGGTAAATTTAAGGTTTAAAAACAGGATTATATACTTCAGACTAAAGTAACACTAATTTTACTTTCAGTACGCTCCCAAACCTTACGATTTTGGATACGACGTGCAAGATTCGTATGGGAATCAACAGTTCCGTAAAGAGACCAGCGATGGAAAGGGAAGAGTAGTTGGATCCTACGGATATACAGATGCATACGGGATATATCGCATTGTGGAATATGTAGCAGACGAATTTGGATACAGGGCGAAGGTCAAGACAAACGAACCGGGCACAGCTAACCAGAATCCTGCACACGTAACAGTACGTTCGCAAGCGATACCACACGTCCCACATTACAAGAAACCCATTTATTACTGATACAATACGTCCATTTAACGATACCATAAAGTTTGCTGGTTTAGTAGTTTGCTTGGATGCCTCCTGTAAATAAAAAGCATACGCCTAGTATTTGTGTGGGAAATTTCCCCAATTGTCCAAGAAATTTCCCTTCGTTTCTAGCTCGCCGCATTGTAGTATAGTAACAACGCTTGAATGGAAGCTTGGATTCTGACGTAGCGTTAGAGGTTAGCAAGATCCTGGATAATTTATGGAATTTTATTAAAGATATATTTATAAATAAACTGGGTTAAATCATTTTTTTCTCTTTAAAAAATAAATTTTATTTTTAAAAATAATAATAATATTTAAGATATGTTATCCTTATTGTATTGAATTAAGCACAGTGTACTTAATGTACGCGTTTTAAAATATTAATTTATAATTTTATAGCAGATTTAAATGCCAATAATTTATCACAAACATCTAAAATTTATAATTATTTAAAAATTAAAATTTAAATATTGTAAACGGCGCGTAAGATCCTTACGTAAGAAGATCATCTTGCATAGAAGCAATGTAAAAAATAAATAAAACCCATTAAATATTGAGATTAANAAGAGTGAAATTTATTGTTAGAAAATGAAGTAGAATAATTGCTATTCCATGACAATTTACTACATAAAATAAGGGCTATTGAAGGCATTTTATACTTATCAATTTCATGAGTATTAGAGCAATTCAAGATTTATGAGGTTTCTTACAAAACAGGAACGTATCCATCAAATTTTTATAATTTCTTTTTTATTTTTAAAAAATTCAAAATGGAATCGCAGTCGATTGACTGTAAAAATATCGTTTATATGAATCTCAGATAAAGACTAAGGAAGATTTTTATCAAATAAAGTAATGAAAAATTATCCTAGAAGATTAATAAATAATATTTAGGTTATTGAACTTAATTTTACGTTTAAAAAATAAATTAACAAGTGAAACGATAAATGATCCCTTTCTATCTCGTAGAAGATCTACTCGTATCTAAACTTATCATTAAAGATTATTTACAACGAAACTCCTCCCAAATTGAGTAGAAAACTGACAGATTACTTCCACCCATATCAATATAAAACGTATTTTTGAGTGCGGAAGCTACAAAATGCCATCTTGGTTGTCAAACAAGTGACTTTAATAGCCCTTATTCTATTGTGGAAACGTCATACATACAGACATAAACCATCATCTAAAGCAGGGTCGGATTTATACACGAGCTAAATAAATGGGATGGACTTAGACTCATTGTGGACCTGAGCTATTACGTATAATGGGCCCTTCTTCTCCACCAAATGATAATACGTGTAAAAAATATGAGTCCCTAAGCTGTAACAAGTTTAGTTTGTGTAAATCCGGACCTGGTCATACTCTAGTCTTTACGTGGTTTAAATTAATTATTATTTGGTATAGAGGAAGAGCCTCTTATATATTATTAGTTTAGGGCCACAGCTAGACTAATTCGAGCTATAAATCAGGATCGGAATTACACAAAAGCTAAAACAAGGTGTAGTTTAGTCTCATGATACAGGCTTCATTTAGAGGCCTTACACTTTTAAACTTATTACTATTTGTGGATGAAGGGCCTTTTATATATTGCCGCTTAGAGCCACTGACACTAGGGTTTCTCATTTCCCGGTCTTTTGCTTGTCCCGGGAAATCCCGGGATAGAATTAATTATTTTTAAGGTATACAAAATATCTTGAAATCAAATGATATAATTATTTTCCATTTTTTAAAGTAATTTTAAAGTTCTGTAACCTCCAAAATCATATTAATAATGCTGTGTAAGGTCTATAGGCCTATAATAAAAATTACCTTTAAATAACGTAGAAATTTTCACAAATAGAAAAAAATTAATTAAAGTTTGCTGGAAACTGCATACAACAACAACAA